TCGTCGGAGGCCACCTCTTCGGCCGCCTCGGGCCCGCCTTCGACGTATCGATAGGGGAGGGTAGGAGAGGGGTAAGCCCTCTCGCCCACTCCAGGTGTCGGTGATGGCAGGGAGAAGGGGAGGACCGGTTGGGGCCGGGCCTCGCACCCCTGTCCCCCCTACCCATCCAATAGGGAAGGGGGAAGGTGGGGGCGAGGAAAGAGAGCGGGTGTCCTCTCTCTCCTAATTAACACCGGAAGGCCAACCCGACCGGACAAACGGTCGGGGCACCGCGCCCTTGACTCCCTATCTGGGAGGGGCGCGGTATTTAGGCGTGGGGCTCCATGAGAGCCCTGGGGCCGAGGTGTCGGGGAGGAAATGCAGGCGTAGTTCCCCTGACCCCCCCACCACGGTCCGAACGCGGCGGTAGGCACCCCGCAAGGGTTTTAGTCGGTAGAAGTCCGACATAACCCCTGCCCTCCCCAAGGGGCGGGGGTATCCATGATTTCCCCTGCGTGACCAAAAGAAAAAAAAGGCTGGAATTGCAGTCATAGTTGCCAGTGAATGTCAATGCATTGGTTTTACGAAACCACCGTATTTTGGTGCGCATTCAAAATATATTTTACCACCAACACTAATGAAAACATAATAAGCATAAATTAAATTAAGCAAGAAAGAGATATGGGTAATTATCAGAAAAGGTACTTTTTTCGAATTTTGAGAATTCTTTGTTGCTATTGTGGTAAAAATTTTTGTTGTCACTCCAAAAGTAATAATGAATCGGGGAGAGCCCGAAAAATATGCAACCTACATTTGTTTTAACAATTTGTGGTAAACTTGTCAAAAGGCTACAGCACCTCCAATTTCGATGAAAGTAGACTAATATATATGTTTTATTGGTAAATATGGGGTTAAGAGGACCCACTTCTGATGACCTTGAATTTTACATATTTTATCAAGGACACCCTCCCGAGTAACATGCAAAAAGTTTTAGTCCGTGCTTACTGTTCGTTAAAAAGTTACTAACAAATTAAGTTAGTGATAAGAGTTTGCACCGAGCATGTGTACACACACGCACACACACCGAAGGAAGCGTGCAGGGGGCCTTCGGCCCCCCACCCGTACCCCCCTCAAGGGTTAACGGGTGAAACTCGCTTCACGTGGAAAGTCGCAATAAGTCGCAAACTCACGTGTGACTTTCCATATGAAGCGAGTTTCACCCGCTGACCCTCGAGGGGGGGTGCAGGTCGGGTGCCGAAGGCCCCCTCGCACGCCCCCTTCGGTGTGTGTGTATGTACCTATGCTTGGTAAATATGTTGGTTGCATATTTTTCGGGCTCCCCTGATTCATTATTACTTTTGGAGTCACAACAAAAATTTTTACCACAATAACAACAAAGAAATCTCAAAATTCGAAAAAGTACCTATTCTGCATAATTACCATAGATTATAAGTATTTTATATTCTATTATTATAAATTATACATTGTAAGTCCGAAAAGACGCTCAACTGATGCTCGTAATGGGGAGACCACGCCTATAAATGAATAAATTGAATTTCATTATTACTAAGCTGCGAGCAAGTTCAAGCGAGCCTCTTTTCAAATATTCTTCCTTTATTAACTACGTTTCAACCGAAAGAGAAATCAGCCATTGTAGAGATAATACGTAAAATTCATAATATATATATATATATATGTGGCGGTTGACCAGTCCCCGCCATCTACCGCGGCGCCGGCGGACCCGCGTCCGCCGAGCCGCAGGAAACAGCTTCTACAGCCGAGGGCGCTCTTCTAACGAGGTACCCCTCGACCACGTGCTCTAGCACGTGTTCGCCAGAGTCGAGCTCTGGCCGCCGACGACGACACACGTTTTCTGTCCTCGCGAGGAGTCTACGCAGCAGGGAATCGAGCGACCGCCTGTGCCTCTCGCCTCGACCGCCTGTGCTTCTCGTCCAGCCGCCGCTTCTACGCGCCAGGGGCAACTTCGCGGACGCCGGCGTCCACAGCCGGGGCATCCCGACGCGACCTCGCCGACGCAACCCTCCGGTGCAGAGCCCGTCGTGCAGCAGCACGAAGCGTGAGTCCCGCTACATAGTGTCGCGACAGCTCGCGCATCCCTCTCGCCGGGGCGCGTCGCGTCTCCATTCACGCGTGCCTACGCAGCCCGCGCCTTTCGGCTGCCCTTCGGAGAGCTCCTCTCCTCGCAGCCTTGACGGGTCGTCCGCGCGCGTCCTCGCGTGGTGCATCTCCGCGAGAGAGCGTTCCGGGGCGCATCCACGTGCCCACCGGTCGTGCGACAGTGCATTATTTCTCGCGCCACGTGCGCCTTCCGCGCGCGTCTTCCGCGTGCATTCCGCGTGCCCGCGCGGCATTTTTCGGCACCCGTACATGCCACGTGCCTCGCGCGCCATATGCACGTGCCCTTGTTGTTGCCGCGCTCCGTGCGCGGCCTGAGGCAGCGTGCCTCAGATCGCGTGTTGTTTTTCTTATTGATTTTGCGAGCGTTCTTATACATGCGTTATACGTGCGAGCGATAATCGCTACTTCTGCGAACGGTTTACTCTTATTCTTCGCGAGCGGTTTACTCTTATTCTTCGCGAGCGGTTTGCTCTTATTCTTCGCAAGCGATTTGTTTCTCGTTCGAGAACGGCTATCCATAATATTTGCGAGCGTCTCGTTACGCGGTTGTCCTTCGCGGACACATGTTCTTGCGCCTCTATGCACGTGCTCGTTTGCTGTTCGCACGTGCACGCGAGCGATAATAATAAAGTTCAGTTCGAAGAGACCTTGCGTTCCACCTGTTTTGTGCGACAGAACACGAACCTAGGGCACGAGTACCGTGACCCCGTGCGCTGTGGGTGAATAGGGGGTCGGAGTGTGCAGCGGCACCTCCACTCGGCATTACAACCCATGGAGTTAGTGGCCCCTTATACCAACCTTCACATATATATCTGAAAGTAAAGACAATTCATCTACCGACATATATATTAATAACGAAAATCTAAAGAACCCAACTGCAACCAGCCTTTTAGAGACAATAAATTGAAATATTCCTTTCATTATCTCAAAATATTCATTATCTCAAAAATAACTAAAAGCGCGTCAAATTCAAAAGTAGAATTATAAATCTAACTCAACGCATACTCTATGGCTTGTCCAAGACGTAACACCGCTCTCAGATTTCTCTTTGTCGGAACCTTTGTCGTAGCCTTTTGGTCTGTTCTTTTCTTCTACACCGCTGCACTGGTGCAATAAGTTAAAGTGAGACAAATATATACTTGTCTCACTCGAACTTATTGCACTAGTCAGTTAAAGATGCAACATCGAAAAGCAATAATCGATTATAATTATATGATTTAATTGGAAAGTCTGATTATTGTTAGTCTAATGTATCGAAAGAAAATCATCGATTGTATTCAGGATCGAATGCAAAATAGCTGCATTACGTTAAGTAAATACGTGCCAATATATTTTATATAGCTTACATGATATATATTATAGATAAATAGACGCATATAAGTTTTGTAGAATAAATTTCAGCTAATATTAAACCAGCTGCAGACAATGGGTGTTTACGATAAATCGAGTTTGAGTTAGTTCCACTAGGACTGAAAGGTATGATAGGCACGACCATCTACTATCTTCATGATTTATGACAACTCAATTGTCAGTGAAACTAACTCGAACTCGATTTATCGTAAACACCCAATGCTTGTTTTTGCGCAGGATTTAGTAATATTTTAGAAATGTATCATTAATGTAGACGAGCCAATGTAAACGAGCTAATGTAGACGAGCATTTAAAGGTTCGTCTACATTAGCTATAAGAGTAAGGCTGTAAGGTTGCAAGACACGAAATGAAATATTTTCATTCGCTGACAGCTTATGTTACAGCCTTACAGCCTTACTCTTACAGCTATTGTAGACGAGCCTTAAGTAAAAGTATGTGCTCCCTGCTTTAAGCCAGCGGCACACGGTGCTTGTTTTCGTGCTGGATTGCTTGCTGGATGAAAATACTGCGTTTTGATTGGTACATTTCCGAAGATGGATGAAAATGCACCAATCAGAACGCGGTATTTTCATCTAGCAAGCAATCCAGCACGAAAACAAGCACCGTATGCCGCTGGCTTTAGGCTGTAAATTTATTTTGAGACGCCATTTTTACAAGATCGACATAAACTACGATGCCAGGTTAGAAAAAATAGACGCGTTTGTCAAGAAGCAAGAAGTTGATTGGCTAATGGTTCTTGACACATCAATCAACTTGCTACTACTTTTTCATAAGGACGAGAGACATCGATTAATCGATTCAAATGTATCAATCCTTTACCATAATCGAAGTACACAGTATCGATGCTAAATTTTCTTGTATCGAAAAGTATTGGCTGCGTTCAGCAGAATAAAGTGATTAGTGAGCGCTTAGTGAGTCTCGCTCCTGATTGGTAAATACTTTTGGGTCTATGAAGAATCTAAAAGAATGCTCCAATCACAGACAATAATCACTAAGCGCTCACTGATCATTTTGTTCTACTGAACGCAGCTATTGGCTGCGTTCAGAAAACACAACGGTTACACAACGGTTGAATAATTCGTCAACGTTATTGGCCTGAATGTAAGGATCTAATAGTAAGGATCAATAGTTATTAAGCGCTCTGTGGTGCGATTCTGTAACTCGTTATTGGAGTTAACGACAGTTTCGTTATTGTTGCGCAGCTTTTCTACAGTATACAAAAGCTGCGCAACGATAACGAAAGTGTCGTTAACTCCAATAACGAGTTACAGAATCGCATCACAGTAGCGGGATTCTGTAACTCGTTATTGGAGTTAACGACACTTTCGTTATTGTTGCGCAGCTTTTGTATACCGTAGAAAAGCTGCGCAACAATAACGAAACTGTCGTTAACTCCAATAACGAGTTACAGAATCGCACCACAGTGAGCGCTTTGTTTTCTGAACGCAACCATTGATTACAGATAGAATAGGTATCGGCATCTCTGTAGTCAGCGGTGCAGAGGAAAAAACATCTCTTGTAGCACGGGCAAAGTAGTGCAAAAGTTGTTACAATTGGTACTACAATTTATTATATCGTGACTTTTAAGATATTTTATGTTCCTTATTTATTATTAAACTCATTATCTAATTACTTATCAAGTAGATAGAACACAGGTTAATAAGATACGAAATAGGTAAAATAAGTTATGTTAATTTATTGTTTTATGTCATATTTAATCCTGGTCTCTCTTAACCTTCATTCCCCATTTTTTCAATTTATACTCTGCAATAATGAATTTTGTTTACTCGTTAAATTTCTTGGCATATAGAAACACATGTGAGCTGATCAAATTGTTATATATTATTTGGAGTATCTATTCTTTTACTTTTTCATTTCAACTTTATACTACTTGCCATGTAAATTCCTGTATTACAATTCTTGTATTAAAATATTTAAAAACAGCACTTGTGTAAAATGATTACAAACATCATTCTAAACTAATAGTAAATTAAACAACTTATTAAGTTGAATCTATTTTCTTGAAGCAATTTATTACGTAGCTATCATTTGAAAACTTGTACTTATAAATTTATTCTAATTTATTTTCGTTTTATTGCAGACACAATGGAAAGTGTATTAAAGGAATTGGCTGTGATGCTTTTTGATATTCAGGCTGTGAAATTTGGAGAATTTAAAACAAAAACCGGTTTGAAAACACCAGTATATTTTGATATTCGAGTTATAATAGCCTACCCAAATATTATGGTAAATAAACACGATACATACAATATAATATATACAATGTAATATATATAATAAGTATATACAAGATGTCTCATTTTAAATCTCTCAGGCAAATATCTCGAGAAATATGGAAGATATGGAAAAATATTTCAGACAAAAGTTGCATGGTTTTAAGGGAGCATAAAACAACTATATCAGCGTGTTTATAGATAACGCCACTTTCGAGATATTCACTGATCGTTACTTTTCTTAAATGGAAATCCCAATTTTTTATTACATCATCTTCTTCTATCAATTAATTTGCGCAACTTTTGTCTGAAACATTTTTTTATTTGCCTAATATTCTTTGAGATATTTAAGGAGGACTTTATAACTTTTTCAATATTTAACTTACGATATCTTGCTAATTTATCGTCGAAAGAAAAAATGGTACTAGACCTTTTTACTCTATTTTAATCTCAAGAATATATTGTTATAACAGCATCTTGATTTTTGTTAATTTGATGATTTTGAAATTTCCAAAAGTCAATAAATTAACAAAAGTTAGAGCACTATTAAACAATATATAGTATAATATATATAGAAACTGTAATATATGAATATATATGAAGTAATTATATTTATATGACATGTTCTATGCTTAAGGCAATACTAAGAATATAGAAATATTAACAAGTATCAATATGATAAAATTAGCTATATATTACCTAATTTCGATAAACATGATGTTAAAATATATTTAATTAAATATATTTTAGTTAAAATATATTAAAAATATATATATATATCGATTACCTTCTAGAAAAATTTTCTTTGTAATAATAAAACAATATTCTTTTGTAGCGATGAGAAAATATTCATTAATTTTTCTTTTTATAGTCTAGATTAGCAAAACTTCTATGGGAACTTAGAAAAGATTCTACAAAAATATTTCAAGTTTGTGGAGTACCATATACAGCATTGCCATTAGCCACATTGATATCTATAGAAAATAACATTCCAATGTTGATAAAGAGGAAAGAGATGAAATCTTATGGCACAATGAAGATGCTAGAAGGTGTTTATTTACCTGGTGATAATTGTATAATCATCGAGGATGTTATCACAAGCGGTAGCAGCATTTTAGAGACTGTGGATATCTTGAGGAAAGAACAATTGAATGTGACACAGGCGCTTGTGATAATAGACAGGGAACAAGGTGCCAGAAAGAATCTGGAGCGTCATAAAATTCAAGTCAAGAGCCTTTATACAGTTACAGTATTGATGAAATATCTGTTTGAGGCTGGCAAGGTCACACAAAAAGTCGTGGACGATGTGAGCAATTATCTGCAGGCTAATCAAATACAAAATATTTCAGTTGAAGGTAAGTTAATAAGATATGATAATGTCTCACATCAGAATCTAGTGTTCTTTATAGAAAGGCAACATTTAAACATTTAACTAATTATTATAGATAATTAATAGATAATAAGATAGATAATAATAGATAAATTGTTTGAAAAAGGCAAATGGGTTGAGAGTCGCGCGACCTGGAGTCGCAGGGGATCAACATGATCATATCATACAGCGACTCATTCGGGGCCACGGCAGTGTTCTCGCAGCAAGAAGGAGACGGCACGATGTTGGAAGGCGAGCGTAGCTGGTTGTCTAGTTACGCAGGCACCAACAGGGTTTCGCTTTTTTCTCTTCGCTTGTCTAATTTTTCCGAGCGAGAATATTGCTTCTGCATTGTTTTTTATTATTCATGTGGCATTTCGGGGCTCTTGATGAGCATTCACTTCTGGTCTTTTTCGCGGCTCACGCTGCCTTCTCTATCGAGAAGTATTTACGATGAGAGATACTTGGTCTCTGCATCGACTGGCGCTGCCAACATCGGCGGCATTCCTGATCGACGGCTTACGCCGCCTTTCTCACGGTGAGAGACACTTGGTCGGTCTCTGCTGGCTTCGGTTCCTGGCTTCTCTATCGAGAAGCGTTCCTGATCTGCGGCTGTCCGCCGCCTCCCTTCACGCCCGGATCTTCAGCGGCTCTCGCCGCCTCCTCCGTCGGCGCTTCTGACTTGCGGCTGTCCGCCGTCTCCCTTCACGACTCCTAGATCTTCAACAGCTCCAGCCGCCCTATCCGTCGGCGTTCCTGACTTGCGGCTTTCCACCGCTTCTTTCACGACGCCCGGATCATCAGCAGCAAATATTTTACTTCTTTCGGAGTTGTTTTTTAACAGTATTCGTTTTAAATCTCAGTTTTTAAATATTATTGCTCGTTACTTGACAATTAAAAGAGTTCGAATGAGTGACAAATGTCAATGACATTAAAAAATCGGAGTTGCTACGCGAATTCAATTCAGAATTATGATACATAGATACTTAATTATAGAAAGGCAATATTTAACAGTCGATTTTAGCAATATCTTTCCCATAAAATTCTCAAAACTAGAGAACATAAAAGTACGATTCATTGCAATTTTCTAATGTTTAAGATGATCCTTCCATTTTCACAGGTATGCTAAACGATAGAATGAAGCTTCCATATTGCAAGCGTGTCAAACTAACGAAAAATTCATTGACCTCGACGTTGCTAGAACTGATGGACCGGAAGTTAACCAATCTCTGCCTAGCAGTGGACCTCACAAGAACAGAAAAGATTCTGGAATTAGCGAATCTGGCGGGACCTCATATCGCCGTGCTGAAGACTCACATTGATATTGTAGAGGATTTCAATGAGAACTTCGTACGACAACTGAAGGAGCTGGCGAAACGGCACGAATTCCTATTGATGGAGGACCGCAAGTTTGGTGATATCGGCAACACGGTCACGCTCCAATATAACAGTGGCATTTACAAGATTGCTGAATGGGCGGATCTGATCACGGTTCATCCTGTGTCTGGCAGAGCCGTCCTTGATGCACTAAAGAACGGTCTGCCAAAAAATATAAAAGAATCACGTGGCGTCTTTTTGGTCGCCGAGATGTCATGCGAAGGCGCGTTGACCAAAGGCGACTACTTGAAGAGTGCCATGTCGATGGCAGAGGAGGCCGATGACCTGGTAGTCGGTCTTGTATGTCAATCGAATCTTTTTTCGCAGCCTGGTCTATTGCAGTTAACACCCGGAGTCAAATTGTCCAAAGGTAGCGACAAACTCGGTCAGCGGTATAACGATCCGCAATCCGTCATCAATGCCGGCGCTGACCTCATTGTCGTCGGCAGAGGCATTACTGAAGCAGACGATAAGTTGGCAGCCGTTTTGGAATACAAGAATCAGCTCTGGACGGCATATAAGCAAAGAACGCAGAGTTGTGACAATGCAGAAGTGCGTGATCCAATCTAACTGATATATAAATTCAGTGTTAAATTTTTTAGTTATAATTTTAGCTATAATTTTGCTATAATATATTATATTATTTATATTATATTATATTATATTATATATATTATATTATATTATATTATATTATAATATATTCTATTATTTATATTATATTATAATATATTCTATTTTATTGTCTCATTTTGATATATTAAACTGCATTTATTTATCATTTGTCTATTTTTATCCATAAATTTTGCGCATAAGTCGACGCAGTGAAGCCGCGGAAGTTGTGAGAGTCAAAAGAAAGAGACAACCGATAGATTGTCTTAAGCCTAACGTCGAAACGTAATTTGAATCAAAATTGCAAAAATAAAAACGCAATAGGGGAATGTTAAAAATAACAGTCCATTACCATAGTCGACGTTGTGCCGTACAAAGATGCACAGTTCGTCGTCGCGCCTGTTGTATCACCCGGGCGGCCGAACTTCAGCCGCGAGCAACGAAGTGGGTCTGCGTGGGTGATCCTGGCCAGTAGCGCTGTTGTTGGTTATCATGCCAGCGTAGAGGCGGCAACCTGGAATAAGACGGCGCCAGCACGGCCTTTTCGGCAACACCGACTTTCTGCACTGGGAAAAGACGTCATTTGCACTTATTTTGAGAGGGGAACTACGACGTTATATCCATTTTCAGGTCTCGGCGGTAAAACCTGCATGTGGTGGCAGTCCTGTTACAGATGTGTTACATCTACTTTCAGGCGGTTTATGTCCGTGCTCTAACCATAATAGCGTACTTGACAAGCACGGTCTCGCACATTGTTATGCATTTGTAACATGAATTAACATGTTAACATGCGCAAAAGAAAAGAAGAATTGAGATTGTATATGATTAATATCATGAAGATTATATACGATATATATCGTATAAATATAGGGTGTCCGGTAATTAACTGCGAATCCGAAGTGTGAAGGTAGATTGCGTTAAGACAAACATAAAGTCCCATAACCGTTTTGCAATAATTATCGAGTTATTTGATGATTTTGAAATTTTCAAAAGTCATTAAGTTAATAAAAGTCAGGGCGCTATTATAACAATGTATTCTTAAGATTAAATAAAGCAAAACGTCTAGCACCACTTTTTCTTTCGGCAAATAGTTAGCAAGATATTGTAAGTTAAATATTGAAAAAGTTATCAAGTTTTTTTTAAATATCTCAAAAAATATTAGGCAAATAAAAAAAATTTAGTTTCCCCCTGTCTTTTTCTAATTTGCATTAATAGATCAGACATATGTTAGTAGTTGCTGCAGTTGTAATTATTAAAATTATAAGTCGCAATTATAAGAGCAAGACGGGAGAGATTCTAGTTTAGCGATAAGATCTGCCACTAACTCTCCTCGTGTCTCCTCCTGCCGCGCATACGCTCATCGGTGCGACAAAGACGGAGAGCGATTGATCGTCTGTGCTTGTCTAACTTATAATCTCTTGTAAGGAAAAGTAGAGTGAGCAAGAACCGTGTACGCTTTATCATTACCGTCAGGATGGATGTAGTGTGCACGCATTTTCTCAGGGGACGCGTTGGAATTCGGCAGAAAAAGCGTCCCGGTGTAATCGGCCCTGTGGCCGCTCTCAGGTTTTTCTCTGGTGGCATCCCTGATAGCACATGTCCTCCTGGGGACATCCTAAAGACGTCCTGAGGATGAAGAAACATCCCCAGGACGTCCTCAAGACGTACTCTGGACGTCCTCTGGGCATCAATCATGAATCTTTTCCTGTAGCATGAACTCGTGAAAAATAAACATTTCCATATGCTTTTGCATTAGAAAATTTTCACTTTTCACGAGTTCACGTTAAAGGAAAAGATTCATGATTGATACCCTGAACATCTGTGCTATTAAGGATAGAATACAGATATATACGTAACCAACCATTCATTATGGCTAGTATTCATAGTCAAACCTTAGATTTGCTCTTTTTCGAAGAACTTTCTGAACTGGTACAACGTTGGTGCAATAAATTAGAGTGAAAAATGTATATTCGTTTCATTTTAACTTATTGTACTAAGGGAGGTAAGGATGAAAGATGAATAAGGACGAAAACAAGTTCTTGTACAATCAAACGTATTCATGTTGTATTCAAATGCAATCAAACATATTCATGTTGTATTCAATTTGACATAATCAACATTTAATCTTCAGAAATATGCAAACCTTTATATATCAATGCTTCAGACAACTTAAATTAACACTTTTCTTCTCAGTCAACAAGAACTATGTTTTTAAATTAACGCGTTCAGCAGTGCAGCTGTACAACTATCAAATGATTCGTTGAGTCAGATTCGTCAACGTAATTGGTCTAGATTTAAGAATCCAACAAAAGAAACTAATAAATGTCGAGTGCTGAATGTTTTTATTTGCTGAACGCGACTAATGCACGTAACGTTCCTAAGTTCTGATTGGTCGAAATTTATGCTATGCACATTCATGTAGGTTGCACATCTTTCTTATGCTTATGTTATGTTATATCTATGTTCTATGCATTTCATGTGTGAGGGCCCTGATGAACACAGATCGTCGCTGACAACTTTCCTAACCTCTCATACCTAGTTAAAGTACAGAGGATTCATATCTCGTTTTGTGAAGTTCAGTGACGATTTTATTTTTCATATTCGGTTTCTCGCGTCATATATAAGATAGGCGAGTTTCAGCAAAATTGAAGGCAGTGATAATCTTCTAAATAATAACCCAGGAAATTATTATTGTGTAGTTCGACCACGTTATAGAAAAATTCTTTATTAAAATGAGTAAAGCTGAGATGAATAATGAGGTACGATATGTTATTTACATCTTTAATAAATTTTGTTTATGTTCATTATTGTTAAATGTACTACAATTGATATATGTATTTTATTAAATATTAAATATATATTTTCAGATTGTTTTATTGCGTCATACAGTTCGCCAAGCACGTGTTTGCATAGTGAATAAACTCATCAGAGAAGCTAAACTCCTAAGAGATAAAAATGGAAATGAAAAACAACGGGAAAAGAATAAAAGAAAAGCTGATAAGCTTATTGCAGAAGTTCACGCGCTGAAAACGATCAGAGATGATGAAATTTCTAAATTTGGTATTATGAATAAAAAAGAAGTGAAAAATATATTGCAGGATTCATCTTCAAGTAACAGAAACCGTATCATTGCAAGAGTGGTAGATTATAAATCTCTCAGTAGAAGACTAATACAATTCAAAGAAAAATTTCCAGATTATGAAATATATTTATTGGAAGGAAAGAAGAAACATGAAAGTAAAAAAATGAAAGTTAACAAAGTGAATTCAACAAAAGACATAAAAGCCTTGGCAGAAAATCATCAGCATTCTCAATGTGAAAATTCAGAGAAATCAAATATTAATTCCAATGAAATTGAAGATTTCGAACACCACTCTAAAGATAAAGAAATCTGTGAAAACATATGTGAGAAAAAACATAAATTGCTTAAACACAAAAAGTTATCAAATGATGAAAATATAGCTTTGTTTAGTGATAAGTTACCACAGCTAGTAGAAGATAATATATTAGAGGATGTAAATAAACAATCACCCGCAATTAAACTATGCAGTGTTACGAAGGAAGCTACAGTAAAACGATTTGTAGAGCTTTCAAAAGAGCAAGATTCTGCTACAGATGTACAAACATTAAATCCTGATCACGAAGATACAGCAACTATGCAAGTACAACCAGTCAATGATTTCTTTATTACAGAAGACAATCAAAGTTATCAAGAGAAATATACCAATGCTTCAAATTTGTATACGAAATTTGATACTCCAGCCAGAATACTTCGTTCAAGTAATCAAATCAAAACGCAAAATGCAAGGTCTGAGAATAATATAAAAAAAAATAAAACCCAAAACCATAATCAGTTAAAGAAACAATTGAGAAGAGAGAAGATGGTTGACCATAATAAACATTTAAATAAACAATCTACTTCTATTAAACAAGAAAAAAGAACATCTGATAGGATCAATAAGAGCATAAACAAGAATAATCCAAACAATGCCAATGACAAAGGAAAAACTATTGATTTGCATCCATCCTGGTTGGCTAAGAAAAAGCAGCAGGAAGTAATGAGTCGAGGATTTCAAGGAAAGAAGATTGTATTTGCGGATGATTAAATAATTATGGTTTTCTATATTTTTAACAATTTACAAGTTGCTCTCAGAAAAAAGAAAGAGGAAAAATAAACTGCAAGCTTTGTATGGCACATTTTGCATACAATGGACATAACGATCATGCAACTATTGAGTAAAAATCACCTAATTGGTACATATCTTTAGATTTATTAATTATATCTTTCTTTTGAAAATCGATTACTCAATCGTTATGCTTATTGTATGCAGCTATTGCTCGTTTATAATGTGCATTTGCTTTGTTGAAAAAATGTGTATATATGTATATATATATATACACACACATACAAATGTGTAAATATATCTTAAAATATAAGATTTATTTATTGTATATAATACATAGTAAATATAAGTTGTTATGTACAAACTTCATATAATTTACATAGATTTGAATTTATATATGAACAATAATTAAGATATACATATGTAACTGGAGATACATTATTCGTACATTCGATTTCAGTTCTCTCGTCTTCTTCAGTATAAGAATCTCAGCATAGAATTTTGTATAACATATAAGAGAATCAACCAATCAGAGGCAACCCGTAGAACGAAAAGTAGAAATGGAAAAGAAGGGTCTATGATTGATTGATTCTCTTACATTGGTTGCGTTCAAAGAACAAAACGCCCACTGAGCGATTAGTAACTATCGATCTTTAGTGTTAGATCCTTACATTCCGACCATGTTAATGAATTACTCAACCATAGTGCAACCATTGTTTTCTGTACGCAGTCATTGTCGTTACGAAGTTACAGAATGGGAACCTACTGTAGCGGAATTCTGTAACTCGTTAAGTGCTAATAACCACAGTTTTCGGTTCGTTATATAATGTTGCACATTTTTTTTGCTATATATTATACTTGCACAACGATAATATCGTTATTGTAACGACTGCATAACAAGTTACAGAATCTCGCTACTGGCCGGCAAACTGCTTTGCTCTGATTGGTAGATTTCCAACATCCAATCGTAACCTCAACCGCAACCAAGCTCGTCATCTGTAATGGAATACGGCCTTTATAGAGCTTCTGCCCACAGGACGCAGTAATGCTTGCATGCGGCAAAAACGCCGCGATAACCAATAAATTTACAGCATATAAGGAAAGCCAATATGTTGATTGGCTATTACGCCATACTTTGTCACGCGGCAAGTATTTCCGTGTCCTGTAGGCAACAGTCTATAATCTATAAACCCATTGCTCATTCGCTGGTTACATCCCGCCAAAATAACGGTCACATTCGCATATAAATTACTGATTTTCGTTACGCATGTACCAACCAGGCGTCCATCTCGCAATGGTGCAACCTCATGGTCTTCACATTTTCGTTGAAGCAGCGAGTGGTTAGGAGCGCATCGGATTTAAGGTCAGTAGATATGCGAATATTTTAATATTTTATTCATATTAGTTAACAATAAATATTCGAGCGTGAAAGAAATTGTGATTAATAAACGAAAAGTTAAAGAATTTAAGATTTCATAATCGAATTCTACCCGGTTTATTAACAGCATTTCATTCTTATTCGTTCTAGACATCTTAAAACATGTCTATCATGTTGTCTGCGCTGTATATCTGCGTCGATCTGTGAAAAGTGTGATGAAAAAATTGGAAATTGTGTATTCGGTATCGAACTTAGAATCGTGCATTATGATTATTAATTAAGGAGCTTAAAAAAATTTTTATCGCTAATTCGAAGTTATAATACAAGAAAATATTTAGGAACATATTTAATTTGGAAATTCTTGAGAAATAACTGAAGAATAGAAAGACGACATGCCATTACTCCACAAAAACGTACATTGAATCCATATGGAACGCACGTTGCATTCACGTAGAATCCACAAAACCACATGGATTTCACGTGGACACAACGTTCATGGGGCTCGATTCCTGACGGCGTGCGAGTGAAATGCGTATGCGAAAATGTATAGTTAACGTTACATATAATCTAGATTTTCACATGCGCATCATTTGCACGCCGTCAGGAATCGAGCCCCTGTTTTCGTGGGGTTAAACGTATAATGAAACGATTTTTTAACCTATTGGCGCGGCTATTGTGCTATTGCTATATTATAAATGTCGAAGTAGCATTTATATAAGAATAATAATTATGTATTTTAATTAACTCGATTAATAAACAATTGAAATAATGCACATTAGCAATATGTATATAAAAATTTAGAGTTTCCCCCTGTCTTCTTCTAATTTGCATTAACAGATCAGATATATGTTAGTAGTTGCCCTAATTTTAATTCTGGCAAAAGTTGATTATTTTTTTGTCGATAATGAAATAAATAGCAGGAAATATTGCTCCTACTAAGCTTAAATTAAACATCGATAAAACTAAAGTGATAAGAAAAATAGAAGAAAGAACTAAGAAGATCAATTGAAGGTGGAGAGAGAAGAAGATAAAGGAAGTAACAGAAACAAGGTATTTCGAATATAAATTTCAAGCAAATGAAAGACAAAGAATATAGGTGAGAGAAAGAGAAAGAAAGAAATGTTATTTATTAGACAAGATAAATTCTTTTGAAAAATATAAAACGATAATGTAAAAGGTAGCAGCAAAAATAGTAATTAACAAAATTACTAAGTAACTAAATTAACTACATGACAAAAAAAGAATATACAAGAAAAGAGAAAAAACTAATTTAAAACTAAAAGTATAAAAGAAAAAGAAAATATGCAGACAGAGTATAGCTTACAGTGCAAAAAGTTGCAATTAACAATAATTGCAGAAGAAAATAATATAATTACTAAAATTATAAGTCTAGAAGAACATCAAAGTTTACACGAACATTGTAACATTAAAATTTATATATAAAGTGTTCCTATTAATTAATCAAAGTTGGAATTAATATATTTCAGTAATAGATACAACTTGGTGTTTTATCTCCAACCCAATCCAATGAATCTAACACAATCGACAAATTTGCGTCGTGATGAGGAATCAAGATCTACACGTAACGAAGATGACCGTTTACTTATGCGATTGAGGAGCAAAGAGGAAAAGTCAAGGCGTAGACGAGAATGGAGGCATCAACAAGAATTGGAAAGACAACATGAAAAATTAAAACGACAAATGATAATTAACTATGAGAAAAAACGCGCAGAAGCTATGAAATTCAAGCAACCATCTTCACATCATAGTCGAAGCAAAAGCAGCAGTAAGTCGCCATCGTATCATCGACACAGAGAAAGATCCCCATCGGAAGCTCCCAAATCTAACACTATATTCAAAACGTGAGTTACAAGCATAAGTTATATTTACGTAAGTATACAACTGAGGACCTTGAGGTGTTTTAATAGAACATTAATTATTTTCTAAGAAAATAATTATTCAATTTTGCAAATTGAATTACAAAGTAAAATAGAACTTGTGTAGAAAATGGAACTAAAATCCAATGACCCACAATTTTTTGTATAATTTCGAATAACTCTACAATTGTGTTAAACGTTGAAAAACAGTAACTACTTCGAACATTGTTCAAATATTAATTAAAAGTACTGTCCCAGTTAATACAATTAGCGGTTCATAAGCGAGCAATTAATAAGCAACTAAATTTTTCTCTTTAAAATAAAAAAACATGAAAAAATTCTTATATATTATATATATTGTTGCGCTCACTCACGCACGCATACGACCAGGAAATGAATACGCATGTTTATAAAGACGTTTAATATGCTCCTATTTACAGCGTAGAATAATTGTAATTCTTGTAACGTCAAACTCTCTACACGTCAGCCCAGCCCGGAAGTTCATGTGCCACTCTTTCATTAGTTGTTCTTTCATTAGCGTTAACTTGTTACAAGAAACACATCTCTTTTGTCTAGGACTCGACGCTTCGCTCGCATCAAGATCAACAACAGCAATCGATTCTCGTTCTCGAAAGAACAAGCGCAACAATATATATATATGTTTATATGTATAATATAAGCAATTTTTTACTAATACCACAATACGTTGCGTACAATACGTTGAGAATAACGACTACAATGAGTCTAATATATCACGACTATATTATCTTTAGATTAGATCGGTCCGCAAGTGGGGCAGTACCTTTATTCAAGGGTCCTGAGGGCACACAGATTAGTACTGCAGAATTACGTCGTATTAAAGTTGACATTCGTAGGAATATTCCTGCAAAAGGACAAGTTACCGAACTACAACGGGATATACTTAATCCCGAGGATGTGATCCTCAAGAGAAGAGAGGGTAAAACGTTATATTCTCCTTGGCATTCTTTTGTGAAAGATGTATCGCTGAATGACAATGGAACTCCATTATCATCTAGTTATACAACTTTCTGAAATTCGTGCAGTCGTGCGCACATATGTAATGACAAAAGCATTTTTATCAAATTAAATTATCAAATTAAATTTCATAATAAATAAATTATATTATTCACTCAAACTGGGCACAAGATAATGCCAGAGGAGAAAGAGGAATTGAAAAGAAACGCTAACAAGCGAATGAAACAAAATACAAAAGAATGTTGCAACCCTCTTGCTAACTATACTCTATCTCATCTTCTTGTATTGACATTTAATTGGCTGCATGCATTTGAGAAAACTGTTTTGCAACTATTATCAAATATATGAATCTGATTGGAGTATGTCCTGTCATTGGGGAGGGAATTTAGTATCGGTTCCCCCAGCTCCTCCATTCCGGTCCGGCTGGTAGACACTCCGGGAAGATTTTAGCTGGTGATAGTTCGATATAACTCTCCTCCAGGGGGATGAAGGTATCCACGAGGATTTCCCCGCTGTGAACAAAAAAGTATGTTCTAATGTTCTATCGTAATCACGACAAATTCTAAGAGCATGCACCAAGTAAATTGATAGATTTTATAACAATTGCAAAACAGCCTCCTTTGCTGAAGCAGCTATTGATTCTCGCACGAGACATGCGTTTATTAAAGTCGACACTCAGAAAGAGTAAAAACTTATATCACATTATGTGCCTGAGACGAGATGCTCGGTTTTGGAAGACGTTTTGAAAGACGTAATTCCAACGCAATGCCAATGTTTCAAAATTTCAACGTTCAATATATTTACATTAGCGATGTTTTACTTCAATATACTACAGTATGTTTTTCGATGCTGTAAACTCAACATAATAAAAGAAGATCAAAGAAGAAACATCCTGAAGAATCACCATTATGATATCATTCAGGGTCTCCAATACCTACGTTTCAGCGTTCTTTGAGCTTCATTTGAGCTCATTTATCATGGACTCTTTACAATCA